GATACATACATACATACATACATACATACATACATACATACATACATACATACATACATACATACATACATACATACATACATACATACATACGCGCGCTCGCGCGCTCGCGCATTCGCACATTCATAAGGCAAAGAGTTGGGTGTTCACTTTTAGGTGGTATGAAACTTCTTTCCAATAACAGTCAAAACTGTCCAAGATTCAGATCAATTGTTGAGGAGAAAATTGGCCATTTCTGACAGGTGATATTCTAATACAATGTCCTCATCATCATCATCTCCACATTCTAAAGAGAGAGAAATCTTAATTATTATTCAAAGACGAGGCCTGCCCTTTCAAAATTGACCCCATCCAAAATAAGAGACTAAATTAACTAAATACAACACTCAAAAGTGCAATAATCTGTTACTTTCTGTCAGGGCATACTCGTCGAAACAACATAAACGCCGCTAAAAGAAATACTGAATGTTTAAAGAATGAATATCATAACTGACACACATGATCAGTTGTCGTTTATAGAGTAAGTTTAAAAACATCTTCATGAACCTTCTTGAAATACATTTTCTGAAGATGAGAAGCAGTTTGTAATACGAACAGAATGGCGACAAAATGGGACTCATCCATTTTTCCAATTTTGAGGAAAATGAAGACCTCTGGTCTGTACCTATTTATTGAACATTATTTATTAAGCTACTGTGTTTTTAGATTGTACATGATGTAAGGCTTAGTCCGTTGTTATTTGTTTTCTAATCAAATCTATGTTGGATTCCTGTGCTTTAAATTGATGAGATCTCCGCACTTTGACAAAATGCGACTTGTCCACATTACCAAAGTAAGGACGGGAAACAACAACCGTCAAACTCTTTTCGAGCGTTACCAAAGTCACGTGACTTGATACCATTCCCTATGCCCCCCCCCCTAAAAATATAATTTAAAATCGATTGGTGTGGAGAAGACATTACATCACGGTGTATCCAAAAAGGGTAGATATACCGCAGTTGTGGTGTTGTATTTTTGGTTTTTTTTTAAAAACCAGTCACTTTCAGCTGTTCCTTTACCTCTTCACTGCTGTGTCAACGTGTATTCTCTGTGGTATTCTCCCAAGTTGGTTCGCTGACGTTTCTATCACTAGTTTATATAGAGGATATTTTGAGAGATGTACTTATTGCAACTTATGCAGATTTTTATTTTTCATATGGGGAAATCTACTATGCCTTAGTTTGAATCTGTATTGAATGAACATTTTGTCTTGTCTGTACAGACGCTATTAAAAACTCTTCAGCACGAAAGGGTTGAAGAGCAAACGTCGGATTTGGTGAGAAAAACCAGCTGTCTGGAATGTGCCTCAACTTTCTAGATGTGATGGTACTAGTTTCGAACAACTTTGAAAATTGCTTTGTCTCGTCTTGTCGTCAAACGGTTCATAATATTATTATTATGTTAATTACAATTACATCTTTTATCATTTCAGACAACAGCATCGTCCCCGTCTTCTGTCGAGCAGCGAGCGACGTCATCAGATACACGTAATAAGATTGCAGTTGTGATAACTCGAGAAAGCTTTCTCCACGAGATAGACCAGGCCCTTCTTTGATGCCATTTGATTTATTTAATAAATTGGCCGCCAAACCCCCACAAAAACAAATCTATAAGTGTCTTCAAAGAAAATCAAGAAAATGAATAAAACATAGGAATATACAAACACGCAAAAATAAAATAGAGCAAAACGAACAGAACAATTTTCAATACCGTTCATATAAAGTACAATCAGGTATTAAAAAATAGGCCTGTTGTAAATAGCTAGTGGAAAGGTAAAGGAAAAAGTACAAAATCTTATTTTTTCTGAGCTGCACAAAAAATATTTGCAAGCTTTCCCACTGTAGCGATAAACGCTTTCCTTGTTTCTCTGAAATGACGGGAAGAATGTGAGTCCATTCTCACAATGCATAAAGCAAAAACAAAAGTAGCCACTGCGCAGACGCTGTCAGAGATGCTGAAAGACGATTGTGATGTCAGCACGCCACGTCACAGCCTGGACGACGACTCAGACACGGAGTCGGTTGAGCTCATGCCCGTGGTTACTTCCGGTAAACGCAAATCGTCCTCGTCAGAACGAGGACAGCAGAAAAACGCAGCAAGTAAAAGATTTGTAGATAAGTCAACTGCGGATAATAACAACAGAAGCTGCGACGAACTTGTGAAATCTAGAAAACTAAATGGTGCGGAGTCGGCAGCTAAAGTGCCGCCTGAGATGCAGAATGGTGCATGTACAAACAAAACGAAAGAAATCGATACGTGCGCGGATAGTAATCAATCCCGAAGTTCTTCCAATTCCAGCGCGGAGTTCATGCCGGTGAATAATACAGACTTTTCTTACGCTGCGAACTCCGAACTCTCCTCGTCTGCCGAGCAGAAAGGGGAGCTAATGCGGGCCGGAAGTGAATCTCCTCGAACACCCTCCAGTAGTAGCGGCAGACAAAATGGCGCTCGTGATCAGCATACTTTGACAAGTTCAGCAACTAGGAACGGGAGCATTGCGCCAGCCTTGTCCAATATAGCGCAGCGTTCCCAGCTGCCGCAGCACATGACTGGCGAGACACAACATCCCACCAGTGGTGGAAGTGTAGACTGTAAGAGCGGTTTGAACACTAGCCTTTCAACTGAAAATGGAGGCGGCCATCATCGTACGGTGGTGGGACCAGGAAGTGTATACAGAGACACACAATCTAACAACTCTCACGTACACCAACACTTCTCAGCCATAGGCATACACACAAACGCTATCTCGTACAACAACAACAGCAGCAACAACAACAGTAACAACAACAACAACAACAACACAAACAACATTAACAACAATAACAACAACAACAACAGGCCTGGTGGTTCCGGGTTCGAATCGTACACTCACAGGGGAGAAAAATCCCGGCCCTCTCCGTGTGCAAGTGCCTCCCCTCCTCTGTCAACGAGTCCGACAAACCTGTCTCATGAGGGCGGGGCCGCTTCTCACTCGGAGGTTGGAGGGGATCGCGGAGTGCTGCATCCTGCGGGAGATATTCGCTGCTCTCCTGCCTTGTCCTCTTCTTCCCCCCTGCCTCGATGCCCAGCTCTTACTTTGTCTGAGAAGTCTTCCTCTCCTCCGCTGTCTAACAAAACCACTTATAATCCAGATCACGGTTCCGGTTTCGAGTCAACGCCGCCCGGTAGGCCTCAGCCTTTGCTGACCTCGGCCTTCTCAGCGACATCGGCCTTCACCTTGACCTCTACCCTGTCCAAGACACCGCCGACCCCGACGACTTCAGTCAAAAAACCCACGTCAAGACCGTCCTTCCTCATATCGGACATTCTCGGTGACCAAGAGGACAAAAGTAACTCAAAACATCACCATCAACAACAACAACAAATTGACTCAGACATCAGACCCGCAGCAACAATCCAAGGTCACTCGCCACAGGGTTACCATGGCAACGCGTCGGCGTCTTCGCTCCTGTACCATCACGACAGTTCCCTCATCGGGCGAGGCTCCAGTAGCTCTGTCCTGCCTCCATCGTTCGGCCCCTCACATTTCTCACCCTATCATCCTCACCACCATCCCCATCCCCATCCTCACCACAACAACAACAGCAACAACAACAATCCTAGTCTTCCTCCCCTAAGAGGACTAAACTCGGGTAGGCATGGGGCCGGAGGGGTGGTGGTTGGGATGGACGGTGGTGGTGGTGGCGTCGGCATAAACAGCAGCACTCGGTTCCCACCTCATCACAGCTTCGAAGATGATATGATGAAAGACGTTGATCACGACGAAGATGACGACGACGACAGAGAAGGAGATTCGGCCAGTGAAAGTAAGTAGGAGTCGTTTATTTTGGGTTTTTTAAAATGAGGTTCGGTCGAAAAGTATGCTGAGAAAGTTCAAAGAATGTATCTATTTTTCTGGATGGCGATTTGTCGGTTGGCCTGCCTGCTTGTCTTTATGTCTGACTGTCCGTTCTTCCCATTCTGTCTGTCTGCCTGTCTGTCTGTCTGTCTGTCTGTTTCTCCCTCTCCCCCACTTTACCTCTTTATCTCTCTCTCTCTCTCTCTCTCTCTCTCTCTCTCTCTCTCTCTCTCTCTCTCGTCTGGTCTCACGTCCTCTTCATCTCACGCAAAGTTCTGTTTCTGTTTCTTCCCTCTTAACCGAATGTTTGACTTCTTTAAATCTACGGATTTAATTTACACAGAAAACTACACGATAATATATTATTATTATCATCCACGAAAGTGAGTGGTTGGTGTGGTTTGCTCCTTCTTTTTATCAAGTCTATCTTTACTGTCTCTCATCTCTCCTTTTCCCTTCTTTGTGTTTTTTTACTCTATTGTAACACCTCTAACTCTCAACTTCGGCACTTACATGACCTTATTGTGTTACTAGTACCGTAAAACACTGACTAATACATAATCCTGAAGTGTCATTTTGCTGCAATTCTGCCTACCATGAACAAACGGAGCCTTCCTTTTCTCCACATATTTCATATAGTTTTTAAATAACTCTTCTAAATAATGTTTCTGTAAGCAGGCTCTTTTTGGTGACGTTCTTAACTTCTCCTTCTAGATCAAATCAAATCGTTAACCCTGACCTTAGTCTTGTGTTATATTGTCGTAGACCGGGTGTGCCCTTACAAGCCGGGTAGGAATCCAGCCTCCTAAATTATCTAAAATGTACCGACGAGGCGTAAAAACACCTACATAAATGAAACGTCTCTGTTTTGACCGACCCATTAAGGTGAAGGATATCATTTAAAAAATACTTGTACTTCTCTTTTCCTTACGCGAATTTCACCAGTCCATGTTTCTGAACATTATGCTCAGAGGTAATTGTATTGTTCATGTTTCACGCCCTCATTGAGGATTTTTAGATCATTTAGGAGGCTGGCTGCTTCAACTCTGGGTGTCAGGGCTAACCCGGGCTGAGAGAGAAAAAACTTATCAGGAAAAAAACTGAGATACTCGATTTCACACTGGAATCAAACTCATATTATTATCTTGCGTGCGACGGCGAAACGCTTAACAGCCACTGTACACTACAGGCTCTTGTATGTCTGTAGAACACAGTGCTCAGTGGGATAAAGTGGATGGGGTGTATAGTTGTTGTAAAACGGAACCAAAAGAAGGGGGTGGGGTGGTAGGCGGGAGGGGAGGAGAGATGGGCGGGTTAATATGGCGACTCTTTGTTGTCTGGGAGTGACTCTGTGGTATCTTATTCCTCTTGGCGGTGCAAGTTTGGTTTCAACAGATCCATCACATTCACCTAGGGGCTGGCTTAAGTTGAGTGTACCCCTATACGGTTTGTGTAAATGTGCGAAATTGTATAGGTTTAACGCCCCTTATAACACTGCAAAGTAATTTAAAACTTGGGACCTTCGAATATTAAGTCCATCGCCGATAGAAACGAGCCAAATGGGATAATTAGTGTATGACAGTGATCTTTCAAATTCTCAATCTCACTATTACGAGTCCCGTACGTAGCCTAACCAGAGGAATACTGACGCCTCAAACCTACCCATTGCCGAGTTGCTAGATTGCTGAGGCACGATTATTGCGTTTAGAACGTTAGGTACATTGCATGCGAGGATATCTATCGTTTTAGTTTTAGTAAGAGTATTGCGGCACTTGCAACTCAACTAGGCTATATAAGTGCCGAAGATTAGATGCATTACAAGAGAGGTAACAAATACCAAAAAAAAAGGAGGAGAGATAAGGACGACAAATCTTTGATAGTAAAGAATGAGCAAACCACAGCAGAACTTCCGCCTACCACTCTTATCCCTGAACACTAAAGTAATATGACCATCACGCAGAAATCAAGATGTATTCCCTCTTTTTAGTGCAGGTGTTTTTACTCTCCATCGACAAAATCTAGATCTATTAGGAAACATCTTTGATCATGTCTGTCAATTTCAATCTGGGCTAAGAGGAATACAACATCCCAGTTAAATGACCGAGACACTCAACAAAAATGTTCACTACTCGGGAATAGAACTGAGGTCACCCGTAAGCAACGGAGAAGAACATAACCGCTACTCTACAGACAGACGCCGGTTAAAGGCTCACTAAAGTCGATTTCTGTTTGATAAAAGTACAGTAAAACCAGCCCCCTATTTGGACCTGAGCGGTGACTCGATTACTATTGATTCGTTCGACTAGTTGAACAAGTGTACACATCCAACTTCAGCTGTATAAATCATTACGACTGGAAAGAGTGATAGCCCTTGTCTGTTAGTCCGTCCGTGTGTTCGTAAGGACTCGCACCTTCGAGTCTCCGATTTTTATGTGACGTCACGCCAGATGAGTCCGGCGGCGTCGAGGAACAGAGGCAGCTACTGGCGCCCTTTTCGACCAGGTCTGAGACTTTTTTCGCTGATCAGCAGACGATCACAAAATTTTAATGCTCTCGTCTGGGCTGCGTGAGGCTCACAAGCCCCTGGCGAAAGAGTACGGGGGAAAGGGTCTGGCTACGGGGACATGAATCTTTAAGTAGAAATTAAAAATAGAGAAACGTAGGCCAAATACCTTCAATGCCCTTGCGAGGAGTCCTTTATTTGTTTTGCTTTTCTTTTTTTAGTTTTCGTATTTAAAAGTACAAAAATAGAGAGGAGGAGAAAAGAAAGAGAAGGTTGAGCGGGGAGGGGGGGGGGCGGGAGACAAACAGAGCGAGAGAGAGAGGGAGAGAGAGAGAGTGAGAGAGAGAGAAAGAGGGAGAGAGAGAGAGAGGGGGGAGCAGAAAGAGATACAGATAGGGGGCTATATATATAAAGAGAGAGGGAAAGAAGAAGGGAAAGAGAGAGAGAGAGAGAGAGAGAGAGAGAGAGAGAGAGAGCGAGAGAGGGAGAGGCAGAGACAGAGACAGAGGCAGAGAGAAAGAGAGAGAGAGACAGAAACAGACAGACAGACAGACAGACAGACAGGCAGACAGACACACAGACAGACAAACAAACAGACAGACAGACAGACAGACAGACAGACAGACAGACAGGCAGGTAGGTTAGCAGACAGACAGAGAGGGAGAGACAGACAAACAGACATACAGACAGACAGACAGACAGACAGAATGACAGAGAAAAATAGGGAGAGAGTGAGAGGGAGAGAGAGAGAGAGAGAGAGAGAGAGAGAGAGAGAGAGAGAGAGAGAGAGAACACAATAGGGGTTCTAAAACAGCGATAAAGAAAAAAGAGATCGCAGCAGCGGGCAACAGCGGCCATTCTTGTGTGTTTCCAGTTTCTTGAAAGGAGGAAAGGAAGAAAAAGAAAAAGAAAAATAATGCATAAAAGACATCGGAAAAGGATGAAGAAAGCCTGTGTGCAGTTGAGGGCAGTGGCGAGAGGTTGGAGGCTCGATGCTCGTCGTGTGGGTTTCTCTGGACTATCTTTCAATTCAGGTCTGGCATAAAGGTGTCGTGAGTTCGTATTCTAAGGAAAATTTGCTCAAGAGATAAAGTTTTCTCTTTTTTCTTGATCAAGATATAACCATTATTCAGCTATCTGTGTTCATTAAGATGATTTTCCAGCCTCAATTTCTTGGTCTATTTTGAATTCTTCAATTTTATCCTGTCATTATCGATCGCTGTGACATAGCTGGTTACACATTTGGTTTGTAATGCTTATAAGACCAAGGTTTGAATCCAAGTACAACTGTACTTTGACTAGTTGTTGTTTTTTTCTCTCAGTGTTCCTACAATTTTTCCTCAAGATTTTGCTAATGTGTTACACCTTTGAAAATACCTACCATGTTTAAATAGGGACTTTAAACATCAACCACAAAAATTCGTCATACATACTTTTCTTCGCATACCGTGTGGTATAAATAAGTTACAGATTAATAAGTAAATGTACCGGATTTTAAAGCTTTGTAGACTGATTTAATAATGATCTCAAGGAAGCTGATTAAAATTTACTTGGTCACTCCCTCCCATCCCCACCCCACCCCACCCCCATCCCTCGACTCCAGTAATTTTTAAATAAACTAAAAACTTCTTTCACAAATTCAAATTGATATGCAAAATCACCACTTTCTCAAGTTTTGTAGAATGGCCCAACATTGAATGTCAGGAAGCTAGTAAAAATGTTTCTTTAGTACTCATTCTTCCCCATTTTTAAAATTGCGTTAAAAACGTCTTTCACGAAATAACGTCAGGGCGAAACTCATGTAGAATGGAGACCATGGATGTACGTAGAAGATCAAAACGTTCTGACATAAGGGCTGAAATGGCCTATTACCCGACTTTTATTGTCGTTCAATATCTGACAAGTATAGTGTCAGCTGAGTTTAACCTGTCTGTAAAATATGAGGAGAAAGGGAGGGGCGGGGTGGAATACAACAAGCATTCACGCCATTGCTATGATACTTAATTCATTAACATTATTATAAGAATGCGTGAATATCAACTGCAAGCACTTTGAGTATCTTAGGAATGAACTCTGTGCTTGTAATCAAATGCAAAATGTGCAGTTTCATTCCTTGTTTTGTATTAAATGGAATAAGAAGTGCACTTGTTGTTGTTTATAACTGTATACAAATTTTTGTACCTAACCCATCTACCTTGTATATAGATCCATTAATCTTGGTAAATGGTAATGTTCGATTTTTACATAGATTAAGAGACTATTTCTAAACAGTAACAAACCAAGTGAATATACTACAGTGCGTCCAGAATTTCATGGCGTAACGCATTGTCGAATATTTTCTAAAAAATGGAACGTAAAACTCCTGTTTTTGCACAAGGACTTGTAGACCTCTATCAATTTTTTCCCACAAAGTGATACTTTTGTAAACACCTGTTAGTTATATTCCAGAAAACTACTCAATAAAT